ATGTTTAGTAGCATTTCTGGTCAGTCAAACCTCTCTCTAGTTGTGATAACCAAAAATGTCTTTAGACATTGTCAAATGTCCACTAGAGGGCAAAATCACGCTGTGGTTGAGAAGCATTGATAAATAACATTCTATTTGTTTAAATTTTCCTATAATAAAACACTTTAAAAAATAGTTTTGACTGAGTGTGGTGGCTCATACCTGTAATTCCAGTGCTTTGGGAGGCTGGGACAGGAGGAATGCTTGAGCCCAGGAGTTAGAGACCACCTTGGACATATAGGGAGATCCTATTTCTACGAAAAAATTAAAAATTAGCCCTGCAAGTGGTAGGGCACACATGTAGTGCCAGCTACTCGGGAGGCTGAGTTGGAAGGATTGCTTGAGCCCAAGAGGTCAAGGCTACAGCAAGCTGTGATTGCTCCACTGCACTCCTGCCTGGGTGACAGAGCGAGATACTGTCTCAAAATAAAAATAAAATCTACAGCAACCTTGTCCAACCCACGGTCCAAGGGCTGCATGCAGCCCAGCACCGCTTTGAAAGTGACCCAACACAAATTCACAAACTTCGTTAAAACAGCAATTTTTTTTAAGCTTATCAGCTATCGTTAGTATTAGTGTATTTTATTTGTGGCCTAAGACATTCTTCTTCCAATGTGGCCCAGAGAAGCCAAAAGACTGGACACCTCTGATCTACAAGCTTAAAAAAAAAAGTTTTAGAAATACTCTGTGTACAGGTACAACTACATCTCCTTATGGAGCCTAAGCTAGAGATGTGGGGCCCAGTAGAGGCTTTGCTATTAAATATTTAATGGTCTCCTGTCATTGGTAGCAGCCTTTGTCACCTCGCAGAGTCTCAGCATCCTCACTGGATTAGATTGAGTAGTTCTTCTGAGCTATAACACAATGTGGCAACAGCGAACTTTTTTTTTTTTTTGAGACGGAGTCTCGTTCTGTCGCCCAGGCTGGAGTGCAATGGCTCAATCTCAGCTCACTGCACTCTCCGTCTCCAGGGTTCAAGCAATCCTTCTGCCTCAGGCTCCCAAGTGCTGGGATTACAGACGCCTGCCACTGCGCCCGGCTAATTTTTGTATTTTTAGTAGAGACAGGGTTTTGCCATCTTGGTCAGGCTGGTCTCGAACTCCTGACCTCAGGTGATCCACCTGCCTCGGCCTCCCAAAGTGCAGAGATTACAGGTGTGAGCCACCACACCTGGCCAACAGTAAACTTTTATATACCCATTCACTAAGGGTGGACATTAACATTTGGAAATCAAACAAAAATTAGTGTATAAGGATGAAGATAATATTTATGTTGCAAATTTTTTTTTTTTTTTGAGACAGAGTCTTACTCTGTCACCCAGGCTGCAGTGCAGTGGCATGATCTTGGCTCACTGCAACCTTCGCCTCTTGTGTTCAAGTGATTCTCCCGCCTCAGCCTCTTGAGTAGCTGGGATTACAGGCATGCACCACCGCACCCAGCTAACTTATTTTTTGAGACGGACTCTTGTTCTGTCGCCCAGCCTGGAATGCAGTGGCCCAATCTCGGCTCACTGCAAGCTCCGCCTCCCGGGTTCACACCATTCTCCTGCCTCGGCCTCCCAAGTAACGGGGACTATACACGCCCGCCACCACGCCCGGCTAACTTTTTGTATTTTTAGTAGAGACAGGGTTTCACCAAGTTAGCCAGGATGGTCTCAATCTCCTGACCTCATGATCTGCCCGCCTCAGCCTCCCAAAGTGCTGGGATTACAGGCATGAGACACCGTGCCCAGTCTTTTTTTTTTTTTGTAGAGATGGGGTTTCACCACGTTGGCCAGGCTGGCCTCCAACTCCTGGCCTCAAGCCATCTGCCCACCTTAGCCTCCTAAAGTGCTGGGATTACAGGCATGAGACACCGTGCCCAGTCTTTTTTTTTTTTTGTAGAGATGGGGTTTCACCACGTTGGCCAGGCTGGCCTCCAACTCCTGGCCTCAAGCCATCTGCCCACCTTAGCCTCCTAAAGTGCTGGGATTACAGGCATGAGCCACCACACCCGGCCTGCCTTTTCTTAGTCTTGATCTAATATGTAACATTCTTGTCATAGCTATATACAATTATTTAAAATTTAAATAAGATTCCTGGGATAAGCACAATAAAAAGTATTTTTACAAAATACTAAAACATACCTATTCTAGTCACAATAGCCAAAAATGTCCATCACTGGTGAGTGGATTAAAAAAATTGTGGCACACCCAAACAAGGAAATACTAACACAGCAATAAAAAGGAATGAACTACTGATACACATTGAAATAAATCTCAAAAGTACTACGCTAAGTGAAAGAAGACACAAAAGATTATTTACTCTTGTGACTCCATTTACATAGCATCCTTGAAAAGGCAAAACCACAGGGACAGAAAGCAGATCAGTGGTTGCCCAGGGGTTGAGAAAGGGAGAAGGCACTGACTATAAAGGGCCATAAGGGAGCTTTCTGGTGATGGAAGTGTTCTACATCATGATTGTGATAGTGGTTACGTAACTATACGCTTGTCAAAACTCACCAAACTATATATTTAAAATGGATGAACATTACATCTCAACAAACCTAACTTTTTTAAGAAAAAAGCTTCTCAACAGAATGAGAGCTCCCATTCATTCTTGTACATTCACCACTCAATTGGCAGGAAGTCTAATACCTAGCCGTGCAGTAATGTAGGTAACAAAGTCTATACCTGAGTTGTAACACTGACACAAGGGCTCCACACTGTGAAAGCTACACAGTTCCTTCCAGAACATGCCAATACAAGAGTTAAAAATGTAACCGGGCATGGTAAATCAACGCAACAATGTGTAATAAACTTGATTTTAAAACAGTCAAAAATTCATTTTAAATACACTACATGGCCCGGCGTGGTGGCTCACGCCTGTGATACCAGCACTTTGGGAGGCCAAAGCGGGCGGATCACCTGAGGTCAGGAGATCAAGATCAGCATGACAAACATGGAGAAACCTCGTCTCTACTAAAAATACAAAATTACCCGGAGTGGTGGCGCATGCCTGTAATCCTAGCTACTCAGGAGGCTGAGGCAGGAGAATCACTTGAACCTGGGAGGTGGAGGTTGCAGTGAGCCGAGATCGTGCCACAGCACTCCAGTCTGAGAGACAGAGCCAGACTCCATCTCAAAAAAGAAAGAAAGAAAGAAGACCCATTTGAAATCCTTCATTATCACAAATCTGCTATGACTGTTTTCGGCTTCAGTTTAGAAAGCATGGAGCTCCTACTCTGGTTCAACGTAAAGTTTTGCTTCTCTGAGTGAATATCAATGATCAAAACTAATCAGTTGGGCACACTGGCTCACGCCTGTAATATCAGCACTTTGCGGGGCCGAGGTGGGTGGATCACATGAGGCCAGGAGTTCTAGACCAGCCTGGCCAACATGGTGAAACCCTGTCTACTAAAAATACAAAAATGCAAGCCAGGCGTGGTGGTGCATGCCTGTAATCTCAGCTACTCGGGAGGCTGAGGCATGATAATCACTTCAGCCTGGGAGGCGAAGGCTGCAGTGAGCCAAGATCGCACCACCACACTCCAGCCTGGAAGACAGTCTCAGTCTGTCTCAAAAAAAAAACAAAAAAAGGTTTCTTTAAAAGGACCATAAGAAAATAGTTCCCTGACTCACCTAGTCTAAGAGTTTCTATTACTCGCTCTTTGTATAATTTTCTAATCTCTCTCAGGTGGAGAAAGGTACACCACTGTTCTACTCACTCAGGGCTAAAGAGCATTAAATATTATACACTAATATGCTACAGGGATGTTTTAGGCTATGGTTTTACGTTTACAGATTAAATTATCAAACAGCTATCCAGCAAACAAGTGGCATTTTTGAAGATCAAAATTAAAACATTGACACCACTAGGCCGTAACATCTCAGGACATTACTGAAAGCATGAAAACACTCAAAGCAAGGAAGCATTCCCTAAGAGAAGACATTTCGTGCCAGCAATTACCTCATAACACTTTTAATGAAAGGCCAGTGAAGTTTCTTTACAAGTTATTTACTAGACGTTTTACAGAATATAGGCAACAACTAGACTGAAACACTTTCGAAGCCAGTGTTAGAGGACAGTTCAGAAAACGAAGAGTCAAACGTTTCTTCAATGGCATTTCTACTACCAGTTCTCATTCTCTAGCAAGGCTGTTCCTGGCATTTTGTAGTTTCACATGCACAAAATCAAAGGTTCCTTTTATAAAATCATAGCCTGTGAGCGCTGAAACGGACCTAAGAGCTCATCTAAGTCAACCTCTTTTTAGGAAGGAGGACAGCGAAGCCCCAGCGGGTGTCCCTCAGCTAGGCAGTGAGTGGCAGAGCACAGCTTCACTATACATCTGCTTTTCTGCTTTTTAAAATGTTTAACTCCTTCAAAAAAGATTTGTATGAAAAGGAAACTATGCCTTAATAAAGGCTGCGCGCTAGTGTTTTGGAATTCCTAAGGGGACCGCAAAGATCCCTCAGTAGACACTTAGTGACTGTGATTAAATTTAGTTCCATCTTAAAAGAACGAGACAGCCCACTTGACTCAATCGATTACTCTTAATCAGCACCAGTACATATGGTATTACTGTGATAGTCTCTCAAGAAATGCCTGACCAAGTTAAAAGCAGAGTTCGGTTAAAATAAGCACTGACCACTGCAGTGATCTGACACGCACACTTGCACAATCCATTGAGCGGCAACCCGGCCTCTCAAAGCACCGATTCGTAACGATGCAACTTATGGGCTTTACTAATCGACTAGACTGCAGGCATAATCGATATACTTCGCAGACCCGCCCGCGAACAGCGGGACAGGGCGGACTTCTGGAGGAAACGGTCCGACCTGGCTGCCTCTTGGGTGACCACGGCCTGCCCTCTATTTCCAGAGCGTTCGGGCTGGGGGGGAGCCCACCCGACTGCAAGGCACTGCCCGAGGAGCACGAAGGCCACCCCGAAGGTCCGCCAACTACAACGCCCAGGTTACTTACGTTTTCAGTGTCTCGTTCATTCACCGTTGGCAATGGGGTCCTAGTGGACATTTTACTGCACTTTAATTCTGCACAATGCGAGGGCGAAAACAAAACAGCGCAGCCCTAGGAGGCCGGCGACCAGCGTCCTCGAGTCCACGGCAGTTTCGAAGCGGCGCCGTGGGGAGGGCGGCTCCCTTCCCTCTACGGCCGTCTAGATCCCGGCCCTGGCCCGGGCCGTCCCCC